AGAGAGAGAGAGAGAGAGAGAGAGAGAGAGAGAGAGAGAGAGAGAGAGAGAGAGAAAGAGAGAGAGAGAGAGAGAGAGAGAGAGAGAGAACGAGAATGTTTTATTTAATTATTGTTATTTATTATATTACATACATACATACATACATACAAATTGAAATATTTAGTCAATATAATCAATGACTTTCTAGTATTATTTGGATACTAATTTAATTTATTTTATCTAATTAACAACCAATTCTTTATTGTGGTAAAATTCTGCTAGGCGCTGATGACCTTCACAACAAATTTATCTCTTTACGAAACGCAAATACCCAACTAATGAAATTACAGCTTAAGCCGTAAATATTTAAAATTTATGTCGTAACTAGTTACAGTATAAGCCGTAAAAACTTCTACTACATCACTAATCAAGATACAAAAGTAATGGTTGCCACGTAATTAAAAAAAAATTGTGAAAGAGCTGTTCTTGTAATAAATCAATGCTGTGTTCGTCGAGGTACTGTACATTATTCTTGTATTAAATATCCTTTATATTTAAAGACTTTTTGTACTTACAAGTGCTTTATTTTAAAGTAGATTTTAATGTCATAGTAAAGGTTAACATAAATACTATAATTAAATAAATATCGATATATAATATTCATGTATTAAAAACAAATAATTAAATAAAATTATTTTCGCAACAATTTAACATAGCTCGGTAAAATCACACCGATTAGAATACAACTGAAAGTGACGACGTTTAACACATATATGTAGGTGCTTTTTCCTTGCTCGAAAAAGTAGCAATAGAATCGAACCTTAATTAATTATAAAGTTTATTGCTTGTGACCCGATACGTATCATCTAACAAGTATCTAACTGCATCGAAGCTCAATTCGCATATATAATGCGTGATGTGCACTCAACACGTGTTTATAAACATAAATTAGAATTTTTTAATCAATTGATTAATGTGTGTAAGCTATTCTAGGTATTTATTAAGCCAAACTTCCTGTACAAAGGCAGTAAGTGAAAATGGTTCTAAATAATACCGTGATCTTTATACAGTGATCATGCTTATTATAATAAAGTGTATATTTTAAATCTTATGAATTTGACTCTACCAAGCGCTGTTTTTGTACCATTATATAATAAATTCCCTGTAGTTTTAATAATTCTTGATGTGTACCTTGCTCATGAACTTTACCACCTTTTATAACAAATATGATACCAGCATGTTGAACTGTTGATAATCGATGTGCGATCGCTAAGGTTGTTCTCCCGCGAGCAGCAGTCAGGGTTGGGCAATCTATATATCAGTGCTTTTTTAATGGACACTGGACATTTCCGAATTGTCCAGTGTATGTTCATTGTATGTCCAGTGTCCAGTAATATAGTTGTAATAATGTTATAAAATATTGTAAATAAAATTACTTATTATAAATCAATCTAATTTTTTTATTTTAAGTTCAATGATTTGAATGTTGTCGCTCAATTCCCGAAAGTTATTTCCTCAACAGGGCACTTACCCAATATTACATAGAGTTAGAGTTAGGGTTAACATTTTATTATTTGCAGCTATACATTTTAGCAGATTGTCACTCTGTGTGATGTCGGTAAGTGGTCTATTAATTAACTTTCGAGAAATCGTACCATAACCTAATTTGAAAGAATGGTGATTTTATTTAAATTATATTTTCAGTAAATAGTACCTGGATCTTTTAAATTCTAAATCTTGAAAATTGATTAGCACCCTCTCGAATTGGCAATTTACTATATAATTTGACTAAATTAATGTTAGGCGGGCACTTTAACAAGGAGATACTATTGGTCGAAAATCAAGGTATTGTCCAGTGGCTATTTTTCTTAATCCATTGCTTTTTACTGGACACTGGACAGATTTCCGATTGTCCAATTGTCCAGTTGCCCAACCTTGAGCAGCAGTATAAAGAGCCTTTTGTACAACCTTTTCTGATTCTGAATCTAAAGCTGATGTTGCTTCATCGTGTAATAAAATTTTTGGATTTCGAATAAGTGCTCTGGCAATAGCAATTCGTTGCTTTTGACCGCCTGAAAAAAAACAAGTTAGTAATTTCATAAACTCTTTAAAAAAAATTGTTCAAAACAATATTAAAGATAATAACCAGAAAGTTGTGTTCCTCTGCCACCGACATTTGTATCATAACCATCAGGTAATTCAACAATAAACTCATGAATACCGTAAAGTGCCAACTATTGTGACCGGATATTTACAATGTCTTGAGATGTACCCAAGGTACTTAAGTAGGGGGGTATATTGTATTGATCAGGGTATAATTCCAGAAAATAATGTCTTAAGCTGTACCCAGGTACTTAAGTAGAAGAGTATATTGTACGAAAATTGCACTCCGGGTATTCCCCAAAGCATAGGGGTATTACTCATTGAACTTTACCATGATTGTACCCGGATATAAATCAAATTTAAGCTCACAAATCATCACAGGGCATATCTCATAGGGGGATCTACCGTATGGCACTTTACGGTAGATATGTTTAATTCCAATTGAATATATATTTAATTATTTCAATTAATAATATTGTATATATAATTAACATATCGGGATCCATATTATTCTCAGCAGAAAATCTTTTTGGTGTGCATTTTTCCTTATGGCAACGACGGCACTCTCTCTGAAAGAGCTCAATCGATTACAGAGTGTGTTGCTAAGCTTATTCATTGTACTGCGAAAGTTATGTAGAAGTTTTTTGTCGGATGTAGAAAGTTGGTCAATGGTCAATGGTTATTTTGACGTTGATTAAGCTTTTCATCAGGAGTCTCTGAGGCACGCTTTCTATGCATATTTAGAGCATTCCGAGACTTTCTTTTATCTCTTTGTTCATCTGATTCCATGGCACGTTTTTCACGCATTATTTGCTTTGACTTTTCGCGCCTGCGGGTAAGGTATTCTTTATTTTCATCCACTTCTAATAGTGGAGTACTAGGTAAGATGATTTGTGGTTTATTATTCATTTTAACGTGATTTGTTATAATAGTTTATTACTATTATTTTAATCGAGTTGTAAGAGCAATTACTAAGGTTTTAGTGTAGTGCAATTTTACCGGTTTTAAAGTTATATGCAATTTAGACGCGTATTGAAAGTATAGGTTGTACATCTCCCGGGTAATCGTGTTAGTCTATCGATCGGGTCATGACTGTTACTACCCGGGTGATCCAAATTAGTCATTATTCTTGGGACACCTATAAAAAATTAGCCGAAAAATTTTTCGGCTGATTATTTTTTCGGCATAATAAATTCAATAAAAATTGATATAATACTGTAATATATACGTAATTTAAAATCAGGTGGCTAATATAAATAAAAAATTATACACATTTCTTGTTAAATTCAAAAAATATGATATTTCAAGCCACATTCGCTAGCAAATTATTGAAAAAAATTAGAAGGCTATCAACTCAAAAAATTGCAAAACACTTAGGTGTTTGCAGGTCTTCTATAAGTCGGATTCTTGTGCTTTTTCTAAAATATGGTTGTATTGAAAAACTTCCATCGCTTTCGGGAAAACCATGTTCTTTAAACATGAATGATATAAATTATCTTCAAGTTTTAATGAAAGAAAAACCTGACTGGTACTTGTATGAATTACAATCCGAGACATTAATCTTACAACAATTTGGAGGGCTATACACCGACTTGGATATATACACAAAAAGGTAATATATATATATTTTTATTTTGTGAACTTTTAACAATTTTATAAAAGGCTCTTTCGTGCTAATAGCCTCTGATTCAGGTTCTTTCATGTTAATAATATTCAATTAATTTCTGAATCAGTTGCGGTCACTTCAGACAAGTCAGATAGCTCAAAGTATTTGATAAAGATTCTAAAAAATCTTTAATTGAGATCTACTGTTTTGCTTTGATTTTGTTGATCATAATTTTTAACACATTTTTGACAAATATTAATTAAGTCTTGAGTTTTTTGGAATCTCGACTTTAGTTGAATTTTTAGTGTCCAATCGACGAATTTTTGATCGTATCTAACTTTTTTAATATTAGCATCTATTCTAAGGGTTAAGCCCACATAAAATTTGCTTTCCGGATTACAAACCGGAATATAAAATTATTTCCAGAATACTAATTCAATTGTCTAAATAATAATAATAATAAATTCAGTTGATTCGGCTAACTATACATGTGTGCCTAAATTATTTTTGGCTTGCCATGAATAAAAATCCTCTAAAATATTTTAGGCACCTAAACTGTAAATAATATTGGCTGCCTAAAATATTTCCGGCTGCCTAAAATAATCTTGGTGGTCTAAAATGGTGCAGCTGTTTTCATAAATTCTGGGAAACTCTAAAAAAATTTTCCAAAGTTTATTTGGGTGAATTCTTTATATAAGTTATTAATTTCGGTATAATTAGTACATGATCAATATATAATAAAATTATTGAGTTATACAGTATTACAGCAACATCAACTCTTTCAACACTTTATTAAATTTTTTTTTTCCTTATTCAATATATACGATACAAAAATTTATGCCAAAAAAAAACTGTTTTTACCAATTAATAGATCTTTACTAAAAAAATTTTGAACATAAGTTGGACTTTCTTAATAAACATATAAACAGCTTTGAATTTAAATAATCTATAAATAAAAACAAAATTTTTACTTTAAGTTCGCTTTGATGAATCTTTTTATTATATAATTATCTTTGGTAACTTATAGTATAGCAAATTTGTTTATTGAAATATACTGTATCTATACAAAATCATCAAAAATTTGCCTTTTTTAATAGATAACACTCCGAGTAAGCACTAAAAAAAAAAATTAAAAGGTTAAATACGATCAGGGGACTGTAAAAAAATATAACACAAATTAAAATCAGAGGTCAAGAATTTATTAATATTTGCCAACAATGTCTTAATAATTATAATAAAGTTCAAAGTATATAATATTTATGTAAAATAATAGTAATTCATCAACACAGCCAAACCTTTGAAATTGTTTGAAAACTCGATCCACAAAGGACCTGTTATTACTCTAACTGAAGCCTTCTAAGTTCTTTTAACTATTTTCCAATGAATATGTTTTGAAAAATCATAATAACAAGCATGTATTATGAATTTATATATGTGTAGCACCGAAATCAATAGCTTATTGAATTTGGCCAAATAAACTTCAGTAAATTTTTTAGAATGTTCCAGAATTTATAAAAACAGCTGTAAAACACTATTAAAAAGCTTAATATACATGGCATATTGGCAAAAAAAAAAGATCTTTATAAAATTTTAATACTATATATATTACAAGCTTCCATAACCAAACTACTAAATTCTAACTTTAAAGAGCTGTTAGAATGATTTTATGATACTAACTTTTAGAGTTCCAATCTGCTAAGAATAACTATTAGATATCCAGATCTGAATTTGTTTCAATATTCGTTTACTATTGATATCCAGATAATTATTTGAATACCTTTTGGATTATCTGGATATCTGAGTGATCTTAATTATCTGGATAATTCAGACATTACAGCTGTTCTCATAAATTCTGGAACAACTGATAAAAATTTGGCGATAAGCTTTTAATATTGGGCACATAAGCTTTTGATTTCGATATATTTTGGACAGTATTTGTAAAATATTGACATGGACAATTCGGACCAATGGATATTGACATTTATGGATGTCAAGTTTTTGTTTGATTGTGCTAAGCATTGGCTATAAGGTTGTTCAAAAGAAGTAAGTAGGATCTGTAACTGCAATAAATTATGAATTTATTTTTTTTAGCAATTGAAATAATTATGGCTACTGAAAATAATTATGGCTGCTAAAAACAATTTTGGCTGCCAAAAATAATTATGGCTACCGAAAATAATTATAGCTACTGAAAATAATTTTGGCAGCCATAATTATTTTCAGCATTTAGGCATTTTGAAGAGGCTGCCAAAAATATAAAAAATGCCATAATGCCGTAAATTGCCCCGAATTTAGGCACACATGTATACGGTTAACTCATTTAAAATTATATAAGCAGGTGAAAAAGATGCAAGATGTATAGGGATGATGCTAACAACTCAAACAATTCTAGTGATTAAAAAAATAATAAAAGTAATATATACAAGTCGAATCAAGCCATTAGCATCTCTAAAAAAAATTTATGGGTCAACCGGGTAAGCATAATTATTCCAGATAACCACAGTGAATATCGGTTCCCAGGTTGGTAGGTGAGTGGGCTTAAGCCCTAACCTATTTGTGTAATATATTTACTATAAAAGCTAATTGATATCTGGAGCCTTTTTATATTTCTTATTGGTTGTCAAGAACAATCTTTTCCATAAACTTTCACACAAATTAATCGTTATATAGAGGTTTGTTGTATACAAAAAAATTTATCAAATAAAAATAAATTAGTTTCATTAAATAGCCTTTTAAAAAAAATTTCATTAAATAAATATATAAACCAATGTTAAATTTTTTTTTTGATATATTTGTTAAATTTAATAAGTAATTGAAATGTACTGACCCATCCTGTGTTCATTCAGAACACAACCTTGTACACATTTATGATATGCAAAGCCATCCAACTTAAACATCTCTATTTAGTTAATTAGTTGGTAAGTATAAAAACTATTCACATTTAAATTTATCTAATCATATAAAGTATCATATATAACAAAGGGTATTAGATAAGTGATTGGACAAATAATTCATTAGAACTTTCAATTCTTTCGATTTGTTCTATTACTATTTGATAAACTAACTGCTGCAGTATTAATCGATATAAGGTGAGTTAAACTGAATATCTGGGTTAAAATTAATTTATGATCGAGCACATAGTTATTTATTTGTTTATTATGACAAATATAACGATACGAAAAGATGAAAGTAGAACAATTAAGATTTTCTTTATTAATAATACAACCTGTGCACATCTTACATTCTTATTTATACATTTGTATTGGATTCTTCTCTTTATTACTGATGATCTACACAATTGAATATGTGTAGTATTTTAAAATAAAAAAGTTTTTTGTTAGTGATTTATAAATAAAAATTCGAGTTTTTTAAAAAAAAAGCAATTTTAGAGATGCGTTGTCGAAAATAGTTATAGTCCTGTTAAAATAATTGAATAATGTGTAATGTGATAATCATAATTATTATATCACACATTATTTGACTATTTGAATAGCTAGTGAGCACAGAACCGTGGAATTTTTTTGCCATGACTGACTCACCTTTTTTGCAAATATTAGAGAGATGTTAATAATACAGTAAATTATTTTTTAGTGTTAAGCTGTATATAAAGTATTAAATTTGAAATTTAGAAATTGAGTTTATTACAAAAATAAACGATTTTAAATACTGTATAAATTTATATATAATATAGTATAAATTAAATTTAAAATTTATATTTGGTTCTTCGGACTTTGAATGGTTTCCATTTACCTAGTAATATGAAAGGGTGAAACCTGCACAGAGATAGTTACGTTGTTGATGCAGATCTTATATTTTTATGTAGGTTCTAGATTTTTAATTGGTTCTGATCAACTAATCAATAATCATTTACAGACAATTTAGCTCACTAACAAACAAGGTTTATTTTACTAACAGACAAGTTTTTTCATAGACACTATATTTCACCAACAAAGTAATTCTAGTCATTGTTATTAGGAGTTAATTTATAATTGGTGTTAAGGTTAGTATAATTTATAATAAAAAATAGTTAGTAAAATGAGTAGTTAGTAAAATATGATGTCTATGAAATGAAATTGTTTGTTAATAAACTAAATTGTCTGTGAAATATAAACTGTAATGAATCAAATACATATTTGTAAGATGCCTGAGGCCACTATTATGGCTTAAAACATATTGATTTATTCTGCTATGCTAATATTTTTTTTCCTATATTAGGATAACTTATAAAAGTCTAGTTTTGGATATTATTAATTAAACCTCAAATGATAAAATAATAAAACTGATGATAGGTAATAATACTAAT